GGAGTGAGAGACAGCCTGCTGTCCTCATTTCCTTCTTGGCAGCTGGACTTCCTCCCTGCCCTTTGGAGAAGTGGTGGCTGAGGTAAGTGCAGTTGTGTGGAGAGCAATCAATTGTTTGTCATGCATGTTTAATAAGCAGCTGGGGTGACAGCCAGGACACCTTGGGTAGCCTTGATAGCCATGAGTTTCTAAAGTGATCCAGCATTTGACTCATGCTGAGTTATTTGCAGGCAAATGGAACGGTTTGACTTTCAGAGGGAGGTGATAGAGGTGGTCTTACTTCGTGGCATTTCCCTATCTGTGTGTCCTTTTTTTAGGCTTCCCTTCTTTGTATTTCTTTCTTTCAGTTGCTACCCTTTTTCTGAAGAAAAGTGCTGCTGCTGCTGCTGGTATTTTCTAAACTTGCCTCTTGTCCCAACTTCATGTCTCTCCCTGCTGAGGGAGAGTGAATGATAACAGTCCTGGGGATTTCAAACTTGCCTCTTGTCCCAACTTCATGTCTCTCATGAAGAGTGAATGATAACAGTCCTGGGGATTTGTCCAGTGATCTCTTATCAGCCAGAGCTGCAGCTGTTGAAAAGATTTTTCAAGCATCTCCTAAATCACTTTCTCCCAGTCCTCTCACTCAGATTTGGGTTTTTTATTGAGGGTCATAGTGGTTCTGTGAAGATTGTGTACGTGACCTCAAGAACATTGAGGTGCAGCAGTGCACTGGATGCAGTAGGAGGCTTTCCACAGGCTTTGGTGCACTTTGGCTCAGGCTTGTAAAGAAAAACAGGAAACACTGGAAAACACAGCGAGGGTAAACAGAGCAGTTTAGTTACATTAACTGTCTAGAGGAGAAACTCCACGATTTACCCAAACAAACAAAGCAAGTGCATTCGTTCAGCATTGCTGTGGGAAAACAGAGGGCTGATAATTGAGTTTAGCTTAAAAGAATTACACAAGAAATTGGCCAGCTCAGGCCCAGAGTGTAATTCTGGCATCCTGACCCAGTTCTGATTGCTGCACAGGCTTCAGGGAGGCCAGAGCTCCCAGAGACTGCATGCTATTTTTTATTCATAGCAGTGCTACTTTAAAGCCTTGCTCTCCAAAAAAACTGCATCAAAGAGATCTGTTGTCGCTGCCTCCCTGTGACTCCTGATCAGATTTGCCTTGCTGTGATTATGTTAACAGTCAGGGCTCACACTGGTCAGTCAGCTTGTTTCTGGCCCTCACACATGATGAGCCACAGTAGATGTGCTGCAGGACTCCTCCAGTGAGGCCCTGGTGTCTTTGACTGGTAAGCAATGCATTATTTATATTAGGAAAGAAGCTGGAGTGTGAAACCAGAGTCCCAGGGTGCCTACTCTGAGTAAACACTGAATGAGAGGAGTTGAGGAGCTGACAGTCTGAGCTGCCCTTGCTTGCCTTTGTGGAATCTCATTGTCTTCAGGAGGAGAATGTGATGAACTGAAAGGCTGAAGTTTCCCATGGGGTTGGGATGGAGGAGTGACTGTGGTAGTAAGAGCACAAAGGGAAACTGAGTCCTGCTCGTCGTTAATGGCTCTGCTGGCTTTGTAAAGGGTAACAGGCAGCATCTGTTTGTGGCCTCTGATAAAATGGACATTTATGTCTCAGGGAGCACACAGGGCAGTGCAGTGTCGTTTTGACATTGCTACTTCTAATCTGAGAGCTTTTCTTATCAACTCTTTGTTCAAGATCAGTTCATGTAAGAATAGAACTTCCCAAGGCAGAATATTTCAAGAGACTGATTACCTGCTTCTAATTCCACGTGAATTCTGAACAGCAGGTAAGATTAGATGGTCACAAATGAAATGTAAACTATTGATTCAGTTTGCACTGGTGTTTAGTACAAACACACACTGCTCTGTCCTGTTTTTTTCTGTTTAAAGGAGGGGAACTGTTCATTAGTGAAAAGAATCAGCATGGCATTGCATTTACTGCTTGTTTAGGAAAACCTGGTCCCTTTGATGTAGCTGGAGACCCTTGAACTTCAGAAAAGAATGTGTTAGCATGCGAGGGTATGCCTTAGTCCTGCAGGTCATTTAATCATTTTCTCAAGTGAGTCATTGTAAGGTAAAGTAGATGCTGAGAAAAGTTCTGCATTGCCAATTAAAACAGGCTCCAAAGGTGTTGCTGGTTTCATTCTACCAGAAACTCGTCACTGAGAGGCCAGGAGAGGTTGCCTGTGTACCTTGAGGCCAGATCCCAAGCTAGTATAAACTGGCAAAGCTCTTTTGCTTTATACCAATAAAGGTATTCCTTTCAGACTCGATTCCTCTATGCTTGTGACTTTTAAAAGAATTTCTGTTGAGAAAACAGGAGTGATTCAGAAATTGGTAGATTTCCACACATGTAAGAATTGAATGAATTTCAGAAGAAGCCTGTAAATAGCTTGATGTGTGAGTTCTGATTCGTTCTTTATAGAGAACAAATTTTATCTGCCTCAAAACCCCTGCAAAATAAAGCTGAGTAAAGACTGGCAGACTCAGCATTTGTCTTAGGCAAGACATCTTCCATGAAATTAGGTTTAAAATAAAGTCAAGGACAGGAATGTACTAATTAGTAAGTGCTACCCTTGTTTTTTTGCCAACAAAACCTCACTTTCAACATATTTGACAAAAAATAATTGAAGCTAATCAGAAAGCTAAAGCATTTCTTAATTAACAGCTCTAGACTAAACACTAGTCTTTTCTGGAAGGGATAAAATCAGGGATGCTAAAGCCCTTCCAAAGTCAGGAAGATGATTTGTTTGCAGCCTTTTGAGATGGAACACCTGATGTGCCAACCAGAGGGCCATCCAGGAAGCTGCCAGAACAGGAGGGCTGCCAGATCCCATCCCACAGAAAGAGAGTGGAAATCCAAAAAGGACCCAGCTTTGAGCTTCAACACTCTGGCAGTCACAAGGCAGACAAGCTGCAAGAAACCTTGGGAACCTGCCCTGGTCGCCCTTAGAAAAGTTAACAGGATTGCTGCATGCCCATGAGCATTCAAACTGGCATTTTGGGGCAAACTTTGTTCTAGAAGGTTCCTAATAAGCTCACATGCCTTGCTTTATAGTGCTGAGCCCTTCCTTTCCTGACTTTTAGGAACACAATCTTTAGATTTTATTTGCATTGGAGAAATACTGCTGGAACTTTCATCCTAGCATGTGAGGAGTTTTCTCTGTGTGTAGAAACAACATGGGTAAAATATTTGGAATAAAACCCAGGCTCCATTGAAGTCAATGGCAAAACTCCCATTCACTGCAGTGGAGCAGGAATGTCACTCTTTACTATTTTGAAGTTAGAGTTACTAATAGACTGTTAGATTATTCCTGCGTGCATCAAACAAAATGTGCTTGATGTTAATGTTTCTGCAGCGTTCAGAACCCACAAAGGTTTAAAAACAAGAATAACTGTGGACTTCTGAGTCTAAAAATTTCATTGAATGTAGTTTTGATAGAAATAATAATAATGTCCCTGGAGATAAACCTAAAATAATAGACTCCACCATATAATCTTTACTGTAAGCTAAAAATAGCAGAGATGGTGGTTCAATCTAAGCCATAATTATCAAAGTGCTGAAGTGGGTTTTGGTTCATTGCTACTAGAAATGGGTGTCGTGTTTGGGCTCTGAACAGTCGAGTCCCACAACTGGCAAGAAGCAAAGCCAAGAGCACAGTCAGAAAGCAAACAGGAGCCTCAGATTTGTAGGGAAATAGCATGGATTAAACATTATTTAAAGGGACTGCTCCTGGCTTGCTCCAGCCAGCCAGCTGGAGACCCAGTGAGTTCTGTATTTTCAGCCCCAAATTGGTGATGTTTTGCTAGAAGGTGACACTGGCCATAGAAGGCACCTTTCTTCTCAAAGTAATTTTCCATTTCACTTTGAAATTGAAGGAGGAATGTTACTGTTTCAAAGAGTTGTTACTCTGTATGATTCTGAAAAGGGTTTTAATGTTCATTTTGAAGTAGGATGGAAAATCTTTAACTCACTTTCTCTGCCAGGCAGGTTGGTGTGATGGGCTGAGTGTAGGACTGAGTGTAGCAGGTGACCTTGGTCACACCATTTTTCCCTGTTAACAAAGTTTTACCTGCAGAAGAGGAGTCTCACCCTCCTGCAGGGGCAGCAGGGATTTATTCTGAACCTGAACTTGCTGTAGCAGTCCAATGGTGATAGAAAGGTCCTGAGGGGGAAGTTAGATGGAGGTTGAAGTAACACGTTTCTGTTTCTGAGTGCTTTTGGAAATCCTCACTGAATGTGTTTGAATTCCTCTATGTGTTTATACAACACAATCTACTGTTTGTTTGGATGGGTTTTTTTGCTGAGTAGGTCCCATTCTGTCCCTGCTGAGATGGGCATGGGGCAGTCTTGGTGCTTGTTTGGACAGTGCTTGCAGAAATGGGGCTTGGCTTTGCCTCAGGCTCCAGTCTGAGCACTGCTGCTAGAGTCAGAGCCTGATTTAGGTTGGAAGGGCCACTGGAGATCATCTGATCCAACCCACCACTCAAAAAAGGATCAGCCTCAAAGTTACATGATTGTACAATACCACTAATTTAGAAAAATGTTTTTCCTAGCAGCGTATTCCAAATTCACCCTGATGCAAGAACAAAGTAGGCCCATCTCTAGGTCATTCTCTCAGTGTAACTGTAGGGATCCTATCAACTAGATTTGGCAAAGCAATCCAAAATTTTCAGTAAATATTCCAGCAGATATCTTTCTCTGAGCTACATCATTTCTCCAGTTCACTTCTCATAAACCCTGGGAGGAAAGTCCATAAGAAGTACATTTAAAAGTTTCAAACACACCAAACACTTTGTGAAATTAAGGCAATGGATAAAATAAAGGAACCTCTAGTTCATTCATTTAACATGCCCAGGGCAGTACATGGCTGATTGTGTGTTGTAAGTGCAGCTGTTAATTGCTGAGAGTGTCATTGCTGAGGGCAGTGGGAAATGAGAAACCCACATCATAACTTGATATGTTTTTTCTTTTGTATTGTTCTAATCCTACAGCATGGGGATGAGCCACGATGATGATCATCAGCCCTGTGCTGGGAGGTCTCACATCATGTCTGGAGAATGGGTGAAGGGCAGGAACCCAAGTGACCTTTCCTGGTCTTCGTGCAGCCGAGATGACCTCGAAAACTTCCTAAAGTAAGGATTGTGCTCTGTCAAAAATCCTACCAGGCAAGAATCCACTCTGTTGCTTTAAAGTGAAAGTATTAACAACGTTCCTTTTAAAGAAGTATAAATGTGTCATTAGGGTATGCAAATTTGAGTCTGTCTCCGTTGCAATAGCACTGTGAAACTGAGGATTGAAGAGAGGCAGAAGAATTAAGTGCAGTTGTCATTGTGCTGATAACATCTTTTTTGAAGTCCCATATTACCTTTTCTTTTGCAGAAAATGCCCTCTAATTTTTCAATGACAGAAATCTGTGTGTAGGTTGCTTGCAGGAATCTCTGCTTAAAGATGCTGCAGCATTATGCTGTGGCTTTTACTGTCTTGTTATTAAATAGCTTTTATTTTATTGAAACTTGACTTTGCCTGGAGGTTATTCTGATGTGTTTTCTCACTCCTCAATGAGTGTTGGTCTAAAATGGTTCACTGTAAAATTCTTTCCCAATGCATCCATGTTTCAGCTCATCGTATTCTGTTGTTCAGGAAGGATTTCTGTCCTGCTTCTTGTTAAATCTCATAAACTACAGGAAGCACTGGAATTATCTGAACTCTGCAATTCTAATCTTAAACCTACAGTGCAGCTCTCTTACAAACGGTGCCTGGCACAATGCTTTGTGCTAGGAGTGGGCTCAGCATGGAAAATTTCCCACTCTGGGGGTTAGAGGTAGGAAAGAAAGGAAAATAATGAAAGAAAATGGGATATTTAATGCCACAGTAAAGGCATGAATTAGAAAAAGAAGTTGAATCTGAACTCATCTGGTTGCATCTGGCTCCTGATATGACAGTGATATTCCAATTTGTAAAAGATTGTTGTGAAGGCAAAAGAAAAATCTTCTTTTTATTCCTGTAACGGAAAAGAAAAAATGTCAGAATTCAGCTGGGGTGATTGAGGTTAGACATGATGGAAGACTTTCCAGCTGTCATTTCAAGGATAGTGAAGCTTTGGCCTGGATTATCTGAGGGCCAAATTGAGTCTCCTTCAGGTTTCTAGGAACGGTTTAGACAAATGTTTAACCCAGAATGTTGTGAATGTGTCTGTCCTGCTTTGAGGCCTGGGGCCACGGGTGACTTCCCAGGGCCATTTTATATCCATCGCTCTCAATGATTTAGAAGACTTCCAGGGCAAACCCACAGTTTGACACGAGACTCCCTGTCCAAGAGAGGACGGGGCTCCTCTGTGGCAGTGATCTAACACTGCAGTTCAGAGGGGCTTTCCCTTAGGACATTTTTCCTCCCTGCCCTGCCCAGGTCCAAGGTGAGCACCTGTCTGCTGCTGACAGACCCCCGGAGCCAATACTCCGTGCGGCTCCCGCACAAGCTGCCGGGGATGCACTACAGCGCCGACGAGCAGTGCCAGATCCTTTTTGGCACCAACGCCACCTTCTGCAAGGATATGGAGGTAAGAGCTCGTGGGTTGTAGCTGGAAACAAGGTGGGAAGTGGAAATAAAGCTGACAAGCCCCGGGGAGGAGAAAAAGAGTCTGTATTTCCCTCAGTTTTCAGCGCTGCTGGGGGAAAAGCAAAGGGCCTCGAGCTCCGTGTCAGCCGCTCCTGCTTAGGCCTCGTCCTGCTTTCCCCACACTGCCCTTGGTAATCTCCCTGAGCAGACTCAGAAAAACTGGTGTTTGCACGTTGTTCCCTTTTGAGATTGTTTTGCTGAAATGCTCTGTAGAGATTGTTTTCCTGGAAGTTCAGCTGAGGTGAGAGTCTCTCCTCACAAGAGTGTTTGGCTACTTCCACAGAGTCAGCTTAGATGGCTGGCTGGGCGTTCACCTTCACACCACTGCAGTGTTCTTAGGAGCTGACTCTCAACTCTGTGCTGAGGAAATATTGATGTCTGCTTCTTTCATGAGGCCTTACAGAATTGTGTGCAGAATCCTCTGTGTTTTCTAAGCAACATGATGTTTAATCAGGATTTGGGTGCAGCATGGGGTATCATGGTTGGCAAAATGGAAATATTTACTGTTGCTGTCTCTAGAGGTAGGTTGTGCTTGAGATGAGGCTGTTGGACTCATCCTCTGGAATTTAAACAGCCAAGCTTTTCATAAGGTATTACACATAATCAGATCTTTTAATTCTGAACAGATCTTATCCCCTGTTGTAGACAGGGAGTGGGGTAGTGCCTGCTTCCAGTGTGGCCTTAGAGATATCCAAAAAAAAGTCATGAAGCTGTGCTGGGTCAGCAGCACCAGCTGGCAGCATCCCCTCCTGTACAGACAGGCAAGAAGCAGACAGGTTTCTTGCTTTTAATAACTGGCCATTTGTATTTTTAGTTGTCCCTCATTCCCACTCTGAACAACCTTGGGATCTTAAATCAGTGTTAAAAAAGAAAATAATAACCAGAGATAACTGAGGTTTCTAAATGCCAAATTACTAAAACTGTGGAACACGTGCAAGTCCTGGGAAAATGCTCTTTATTTCACATTAGCTGTTTTATTTATTTTGGACTTGGAAGCTAGCTAATATAAAACAATAGGAAAAGAATCTGGACAGGTTGTATTTCCCAGCTCCATCAAGAAAATGCAGACCACCAGGACTACTGTACTGGAAGCAAAGTGTTAGAATATAGGTCTGTAAAGAAAACCTCAGATCTACCCAGCATGACTCAAGTTCTTCCACTTGTGTGGGTGTCACCCAGCTGGACTGCTCTTGGAAGAGATTTTTGCTATTTCCCTTGTTGTGATAAAAAAACCATTTTGTTTCTGGATATTCCAGTGCCTGATGAGAATGTCAGCCCGCTGGTAGGTGGTCAGCATTTCTCACACAGGAGTTGCATGTCCAGTCTGGAATTGCTTCAGGGACTTGTTGTTTGCCAGAATAATGTGCCAAGAGGCACCATTCTCTGTGAGATACAGACAGCAGGTGTTTGTGCTTCCCTAGATTTTTCACCAGTCTAATTGTTTGACACTTTAGAACACAATGAAAAACGTGCTCTTTTTCTCCATCTCTCCTTTCTCCCAAAAGAGAAGCATATTTTGTGAGGACATTACTGCTTCCTAGTGAAAAGCCTGGTAGAACTTCAGCAGGTTAAAACTAATTTGCAATCCCTTATTTAGAATTATTTCTGTTGCAGATGTGCATTAAGAATTAGCATTCACCCTGTGAAGCTCTGGATCAGTTATGTCACATGCCATTAGTTTAAGCATGTGTTTACATCCTGTTATGCTACTCTCAATTGGTGTTTGATGGCAAGGAAAGGAAATTCTTTAGAGGAAATGATCACTTTTGATTTTTAAACCTCTGAAGTTTGTGTTCATTTCATCTTTGTGTTCCTCAGGCCTCATCTGCAGAATACTTGTATCATAATTCTCAAAGCTGTCTACAAAAATACGAACAAAAAAAAAAATTGGCACTGGTCACTGGCATTAGCTGTAGAAATTATTGGCAAATACAGCTGTCTCCTCTTTTAGCCAATGGTAATGTGGTATTTTTAATTCAATAAAGTATTAAAAAAATCCAAATGTAAAAGCAATAAACATTTGACAGTAAATATTTGTTACGAAAAGGAAATAAGCTTCAGGAAATGAGCCTGCTCAATCTTTTTATGATTACATGTGTCTGCTGCCTATTTTCTTATATAATAAAAGAGCTACATTACAATATTTCTTTGGAGATAGTTGAGCTGCATAATTATATCAGGCAAACTAGAGGCCCTATGTTCAAAAATGCCATGCAATTTGGTTTAGAGCAAACTTGAGAGGTTAGATGATTCCAAAATTTCAACATTTTTGAGAAAGTGCAGAAAATTTCTGTGCAGTAAGCTCTCTTCTTTAACAGCATCAAAGCCCCATTTTTTGAAGGAATGTGATCTTTGCTTTCACAGGGAGTCAGGTCCCTCAGTGCTTGGCAGTAGCTGGGCCTCCCACACCAGTCCAAGAAGATAGTTAATCCATGAATATTCACCCATATCTGAATTTTTGAGATTGCATCCCCAAAATTCTTCTTCCATTTTGTTTTTAAGGATAACTCAGATTCCTTAGAACAAAACTGTAGCTCTCTGTTTGCCAAACCAGCTATCCTGCAGCTATTCTGCTCCAAATTTACAGAACAGAAATTAAAGCACATGAGCAAAGCTCAGCTTTACATACACCAAACCTCTACATTTCTTTCTCCTTTCCTTCTACAGTTTAATATACTAAAAAATGAATTTATGATAGTCAGGTGATCTGTAGCCTGTTGTAATCTGTGACCTCCAAGATGCATAATTCAGGATCTGGTTCTGTAACCTCAGTGTTGGGTAAGATTTTCTAGTGCATGTCACCTCTTTCAGGAGCTGTGAATGAGGCTTTTAGCCTGGGTTCCTGTTAGGGCAGGGAACAAGTGTCCAAGGCCAGGCTGGATAGGCCTGGAGCACCCTGGGATAGAGGAAGGTGTCCCTGCCCATGGCAGGGGGTTGGAACTGGATGAACTTCAAGGTCCCTTCCAACCCAAACCATTGCATGGTTCTCTGATCAGTGAATCTCTCAAGACCCTTCAGTAGATCCTCCTTCATATCCAAGTTACAGAGTTTTATCCTGGAATACACAAAGGGATCACAGTGCTTTTCTGTGGTGCTCTCTGTTCATCTTTCCCCTTGCAGATGTCAGGCATTGTCTGATCCATGCAAGAGCTTTTCTAGCAGGCTGTCCAAGTTTGCCCTGCCATGCCAGGCATGCTGCCTGGCTCCAGCTGGGAAGCTGCACAGTGCTGGGGGAGCTTTGGCCCACCTAAAAGGTTACACAGTGGTCTTTTTTTTTTGAGGCAGACAAGTTGCTTTTAGAGAAATTAATGTGTCATTCTCAAGCTCTGAGCAGCATCATGATAATTGCAGGAAAAGCTGGACAGAAATACACCTCTGACACTGCACAGGGTGTTATCAGTGCACCCCAAACTGAGAGAACCCAGGGGCTCTGGCTGCTGAATGCTGCTGTGAGTCCAGGGCTAGCATGGGAGCAGTTGTGCAAATTACAGGCAATTCAACCTGCCTGACCTCTGTCCTTCAGCTCCACACTGGGCTATGAATCAACTATTGTGAATTCATTTGACCCCTCCAAGAGAGGAAGCAGAGAGCTCCAACCCCAGGCAGGCGATGATGCCTGAGAGCAGGAGTTAACCCTTTGCTGTCCCTGTGTTTATTCCAAGAGGAATAGAGTGGTTTCTGCTGAATCTCTCAGGGAGCAGAGATGGTGTTTCTGCCCCAGAAATTCATCAAAACACATTTGAAACCTCACATGGAAACATTCTGCATGTTTAATCTTTATTTTTCAGGCTGGCACGCCTACCAACAGAGGCTTTTGCACTGAAATCATGTTTATGGGAAAAAAATGTGATTTCTATCTCGTGTATCCATTTGGCCTTTTGTTTTATAAGCCTTTTGGCTTATTTATTATTAACACATTTTTGCGGGTTTTTACATAACCGTTATTGTCCAGCATTGTTTTGAGTCAAAACTGGGCTGAGGCTGGAGTGGCACTTGGGAGGAGATTAGCATTGCTACCAAGAGATTTTTTTTCTGACAAGGGACACTGTCAACTCAGATGGAGCTGGGAATGTGAATTTTGACATAGCAGTGTTTTTAGAAATACTAAACCAGCTAGAACTGGCTCCACTGTTTTTCTTAGGTTCAAGTTGTTTTTTAACAAGTGTAGGTATTTTCCAATATCTACAAGCTACAGAACAAGAGGGCAAAGTTGATTGCAAGCCAAAGGAGACAAAGTAGACTTCTTGGCTAATGTGGAAAAAGAGAGGAACCAAAAGCAAAGTGAAGAAAAACTAGCAATTGTAATGACCAAGTGGATTTAATGTTCCCCTTCAGTTTACATATTTGATGGCGTGGTGGTGAGTATAATTCAGCAATTGTAGGTCTCTCTGTGGTCTTGATCTTGCAGAGAGACTGCTGGAGTGGCCTTTTGGGCTGTGTGCATGGGAATCAATGGGCCTCTGTTTGCCTTTTCTCTTCAGGGCCATTTGTGAGATGCAGACCATGATAGTGAGCCCTATTATTTAGTAATGTATAGAATATTTACAAGAACGTGGTAATTAGATTGAATACTGGTTTATCCTGAAAATAATAGGTTACATTGTCATTTTCTGTACAACCAAGGGCTTTGTCTGCATAATAATACTAATAAATCTGGAAGAGGATGGGTTGGGTTTTTCTTGAGGCTTGCAGAATAGAAGCCTGGCAATTCTAAAATAAAATTAGCTGATTTTTCTTTTTTTTTTTAAGAAGTAAAGATAACAATTAACTTAATTGCCATTCTATAGTTTATAGTTTTCCTCATGTAGGTTGTTAGAATTCAGGCTATTTTCATATTGCCTGTTTCTATGAAGCTGAAGTGTCCTATTTCACTGCTTCTGTATGTTGCAAAAATACCTTTTTCTCTTTATTTTCAGTGGAAATACTTTTTGTTTAAGAGAG